GACACAATGATAACAAATATTACAGGTCTCAAGTTTAAAATAAGAAACATTTATTGAACAGTAAAAAATACTAAAACAAGATGGAAAGTTGAGGTAGAACAGGTAAAATGTTATTATTATTATTATACATTCAAATAAAAAAAGAGTTCAGTGCTCTTAAATCTTCCAATAATGTCTTTATAAAATAAACAAATATTTAAGCTGAAGCATAAATAAAATAACAACTACTGTACACAGTAGGATTCGCTGCATGTACACTGCAGGGTCTTCCGGCAACACAGAGCTGCCCGTGGATGCCTGTCTGTAAATCATGCCAGGGAAAAATAAATCCGCGAACCCACGCGTGTATCGGCCGATGCCGATACAAGTAAAAAAACTCAAATATCGGCCCGATATATCGGCCAGCCGATGTAACGGTCTATCCTTACTCTGCAGCTAATTAAAGAAAATAACTGCAAATGTTCTCTTTTTTTCTGTGATAAGTCAATGTTCCTAAATTTTCTGATGTCCAGCAAAATATGAATTCTATTATCCATCAATCGCGTGTGTGTTACATACAGGATAAGACAACTGTGCAGTTTTTGTTAGTGTTAATAGGCAGACATGACAAAAAATGACTACAAGAGAGAGCACATAAATGCTCTATCTGACAATGTTAATGACAGAGAAAAGTAATCTGTGAATCCGCCCTGTGATTCAGATCTGCTCCAAAATTTAAAAGGTTCTTCTTTGGCCCATGCTACACCCTTTCACCAAGTTTGATTAAAATCGGCCAGTATCTTTTCTGTGATCCTGCCGACAAACAGACAAATAAACCAACAAACTGAACTGAGAACAGAACCTCCTTGGTGGAGGTAAACCCCGTGTGCTTCAGACAGCTTAGTGTTTTTTTTTCCTGCTGCTGTATCCGATGAATCCATACACTGTACAATAGATATAAAGGTCACACAGGTTCCAGGTAATAACTGGATGTCTGTAACCATCCCATAGATGAGAAAAACAAACACTCTCAGAAAATCTCCCTGAGCGACTGATTTTTTTGGGGTCTAACTCATATCCAAAGTTTTATAACACTGACCCAGGGTTCAGCAACAGACCTAGTTTTAATCTTTTATGAAAGCATTGCTCAACCTTTCAGAGACTTAAACCAGCCTGCTAAGTCCAGCGTGCAGGGTATTGCAGCAGACATGTACAGTACATGCTGCATATCAACATACTAAGATGTACACTCAGCAGCCCTTGGCCTGTGTACATAAAGGCTCTCAGTCACGTCCTGAGGAGGGAACAGAGGGATTTGGACGGATGAAGCTCCACAGATTGAACCAAGGATAAAAATGATGCTATACAACTCACTACCTTATACTGTTACATCCTGCCATATCATTTCCCAAAAGCAAACTTCAGCACTGACTGCTCAACTGAGATCGTATTATATAGATGTTACAATAAAATTTATCAACGCTGACCTTGTATTACAAACATGCTCAGCTGACCCTCGTCTTGGCAGGACTCAGTTGGCCCCTGCAGAGGACATTTAACTATTGACACGCCTGACTCACCACTTTGAAGTCTTCGGCACTGCACTCCATGCCTCGGTAGTAGCAGGAGAGCAGCATGTCCTTGATGTCGTGGCCAGTCCGGTCATAGAATTCGCGCATGTTGAAGGGGCGGGGCTTGTAGTTGTCGAAGTCAGCCCTCTCCTTCAAGATCTGCAGGACATTTTCCTCCACAAGGTGCGGGTCCCGGATCTCATACCTGGGCAAGAAGGTTCTGGACTTAGTTGACATGGATATGAGGTAGCACATTCATAAATACAGAGTTGCACTAATAACCATCTATTCATTTAGGGCAGCCCAATTTTGTTTCTTTTAACTGGGATCACAAAGTCAGCTAGTGCAATAAACACATTGCTAAAGGTTGCGATATTGCACAATATTATAATTTCTGAGTTAGCTGAAAGAGACTTTTCGATAGAAAACTGCCTTAAAATGTATCAGTCATTCTTTTATTATGGATGCCTTTTGTGATCAGTTAAAATTCAACAATGTCATCGCATATGGCAAAATTGACTCATATTGTGCAGCCTATATCAATTTTTCTTAATTCTGGCATAAAAACAACATATCCGTCTTTTAATTTTATGATTACATGACAATGTTTTCTACTGTTTCCTCAATGACATAAACGTAACCTCAAAATCAAGTGTAAACTTTTTTATAACTTCTCAGCAACATAATTATATTCATAATAGATTTTCTTTAAATGGCTTGCTTCAGAATGAAAGCTTAGATATTAACAGAGCTCACATGAAAATAGCAAAATTAATTTTCATGTACTGTAATTCTTAAAAGCCAGTCTTCAACCACAAAACCTTAAACTATCCATGAAAGAGCGACAAATAAAAATGGCTTCAAGGGATTCCCACAGACAGCAGAGCAAGCCACAACTTCAGCTGTACCTCACTTCAGTGCATTTAAAGAGTTTGGCAGGCAACAAAGCGATTTCGCCAGGACAATTGGGATTTACATGTAAAAAATTAATAGAGAAGCAACAAAAAGAGCATATTTGCCCTCTAATTGAACAAAAGGTACACATGTGGATGCCAGCTCTCCCAGACCTGCAGTTAGCAAGCTCTCACAAAATTATCCACATGCTGTCTGAAACTGGCAGCCTAGTTGTGGCATGCCTGCCACCATGGGTGGCGCTGAGTGGGAGGAAATTGCTCATTATACAAAGGATGGGAGTATTTCCTTTCGCACAATCACGTTAATCATTCTGCCAAATAATTAGGATTAACTGTGGTGGCAAAGTGTTTTCACGTAGTAAGCATAACAGTGTTCATAATGCTGTAATTCAAATCCTGTGCACTCCGGAGAAGAGTACTGGGACCATTTAACATTTAAATCAAAGCAAAACACTTCACAAAGCATCTGATACTTTTATTTCAAGGGCAAATCAGGTGTATCATGTAGAGAAGCTTGCAAAATGTCTCTCGTTTCTTGCACACTAACACGCGACATAGTATGAATCATCTGTCTGTGTCAACACACATCAAACTGAAACTTAACTACAACTCATAGAAAGAAAACACCGGGGAAGTCATTTATGACATGCCTCCGCTTGACAACCCACCATCAACCTCCAGCACCTGCTCACAGCCATTCAGAGATATAAATTAACCTCAATTAACTAGTGTGGCCCTGCTTGGAGAAAAGACGGCCCGTTGATGACCCCTGCTGAGCAATGGCCCATCAGTGGTACAAGCATCCAAATTATGGAGTGCTAAGATTAAGCACTACTGACAGACACTTATGAGAATAATTACTTAGGACACACAGAGTCTATCAGAGTGAGCAGCACTGTAAAAGATTGCATAATGGTTTTTTGAATTAACTCAGCAACAAGGTAGTCGGTCTTTCCATTTCTTCCAAATTATAGTACTGCAGAGTAGTAAGGGAAAAGGTTTTAATGTGAGGTCCTAAATTTGTGTGTAATGTGAGCGAGCAGCAGTTGTCTTGTAATAGGGTTCCTGTATTGTGTTATTGTAATAATTTTGGACAACTCAATTCACATTTGCAAACATGAATAAGCCAAAGCCAGGGAAACGAGAATTAGAATTGGGAACCATGAGATACAGGGAGAGACAAAGGCATACCCTTCTCCCCTGACAATAAATCTGGGAATGACTTTGTGGACAGTGACAGCGGAGTTGTTTCTCATGGATATGGGCACTATTTCAAACTGTAATTGGTGGTAAATCTTAATGGATTTTTTTTAATTCCACAAGGTCAAGCTTTGTCTGTACTCATGAACAAGATTTTGTCCCTTGATGATGGGAATAATGGAAGTTGATCCATGAATAAAAAATGAAATATTACATTATTTCTTTTGTGAGCACTTTCTTAATATTCAACCGGCGATGTATTCAACTCGTGTCCCAACCAAATTACAAGAAATCTAATATGTTCCAGCGTAGCTACAGTGTTGTTTACCTGAAACAAACAGAGTGAAATAAAATATTCACCATGTGAGACAGTATGCGCTGTAATTTGAAATGAGGACCTGTTTCTCTCCGCTGTGCTCATGACACTGAAGAGAGATGGGAATCGGTCATGCTTCATGTTGAATGGAGTTATTAGTGCTGTGACAGAGAAGACTGGGACTATTGTTCAGAACAAGAGTTGAATTGAATGCCACACAACATCGTTGTCAAATTCAGCAATGCAACATGAAAGATCAGGTGTAACACAGCACCTGAGAGCAATTAAATGCTTTGAGGATGTGATAGATATTTCACCAGCTGATTACAAAGACAATTTATCTAATCAGGGTTCATACAAACATTACAAGATGAAATTCAAGGATTTTCAAGTACTTTGTCAAGCACATTTTTTTATTTTCAAAGACTTTACTCAAAGCAAATCATTTTCAATTTTTTTAATGTAAATATATGATGTGATCAATGTCTCTTTTCAGTGACAGATTACCTAGTTACTACATATTATTAAAAAAAGGGAAAATCATCTTTAAAATTATAACATCTGAAATGGTGAAAGGAAACAATGCCACATGGAACTTTAGTTTCAGCAGTGTTTTTACATCTGCGAACCTCTGAAACGAGAGGAAAACAAATCACGGTGAAAAGCCACGTGACAAGTTTAGCTTTGCAAATAGGCCTACTGGTTTTTCCGGGGGGTTTAAAATGGAACAGCAGCTTAATTAAGAACTCCAATATGCTATTTCCACGGTCTGAGAAAGTTCAGTCAATATTTGTGAACATGAGCTACCCTCTCTCAAATCCAGAAACCAGCAAAGTCTGTCAGTCAGAAAAGTCTCAAACCTGTGATGCCATCAAGTATAAAGTCGAAGCTGCTCCACAGACAATGCATGGTAGCCTGATTTTGTTGTGTATTGTAGTGTTCTTAGTTGAGAAACAGAAAATGTACCCATACACTAAGACCATTCCTCTGGGTGAAGGGTTGGGAATTATCTTTTGTGTCCACCTGCTACAGTGGCTGGTGGATTCCAAAATCTACCAGCTGCACCTAAGCTATATAATGGCAGCAAAAACCCTGGTCATAAATGTGTACAGAAAATATTAGGCTGATGGGTCCAGTAGTATGCAAGATTAGCTGAAGAAAGAAATATACATATTAACACAAACTACCAAACTCAAAAATATTGTCTGACAGGCAACGTTGAGGGCTCAAAAACCGCATAACTTAATTAATAATTTATTTAATAATTCAATAAACGACAAAGCTGAGTGATTTAATAATGAGCTGATGAACAAAACTTGGGTCAAAATATCTTTCATTTCAGACTCTTTAAGCAGTTTGTTTAACAAAGGGACTATTTTCAATACAAATATTAAACAGGCACTATCACACCTATTAAATACTATGATTGGGTAAAATATCAGATTGCCATGCACTGTTTAACATGTCTGCCTCTAACTTTCTCCACAAATTCAAAGCTGTTTTTATTTCCATTCTCCCTGATTATGTTTATGAAAGTGTGGTATTTTAGACCTCCATTAAGTGTGACAGCTATCTTCTTTTAAATTACCTTAAATTAAATAGATAATGAACTCAAGAAAGGCTATTTGTGGCTGTCCCTAATATATCCAACTATTGTTAAAACTGTATCAAGGCAAATAAGGGTTATGTGGGGTTAATACTGAACTGCAGTTGTGTGTGAATGTGTGAACAGATTATGCACTGTAAATGTGTGACCTGACTGGCTTCACTGTATTAATTAAATTGTTTTTGAAAAGGTTCATTACCAAGAGAGATGAGTGGGTTCTCGGTGGAGTGACAGCAGCTCTGAATAGAGTTCAATTAAATCTTTTATTAAAACATGAAAACAGACTAACCTTTATCATAAAATGTCCTCCCCATATCCTTCAGGAATACACAATGCATTAAAGGGATAGTGCACCCAAAAATGAAAATTCAGCCATTATCTTCTCACCCATATGCCGAAGGAGGCTCTGGTGAAGTTTTAGAGTCCTCACATCCCTTGCGGAGATTGGCGGGGGGAGCGGCCAGCACGCCTAATGGCTGACGGCGCCCCAGGCTAACGTCCAAGAACACAAAATTGAAACCACATAATATCTCCAACATGCTCATCTGTAGTGATCCAAGTGTCCTGAAGCCCCAACATAAAAAGTTGTTTTGAAAAACGTCATTTGAACTCTGTTTTTAGCCTCATTGTAGCCTGTAGCTCTGACTGCTTCGCTGTGCTCCGCGCTCACGTGTGCGCGCTCAGGGTAATCGGTGATGCACGGTCTCTGAAGAGCAGCAGTCTCGTCAGTACTGATGTCCAGATTCTCAAGTGCAGGCATCACCAATTCCCAGTCTGAGCAGCAAAGACTTTCCTCATCTGTTGGCATTGCTTTGCATTTGAAACAACTACACCACCAGGTTTCCAGTGCTCGACTCCGGTATTCTGCGGCTGGCTGAGGCTCATGAGCTGCGGCGGCTGCTTCATCCAGTAGCCTGAGTTCCGAGTCCGTATACTCGGGCTCAAACAAATACGGCTCAACAAAGAAATGCTGTTCCTCCTCAGTTTCAAAGTCTTCAGACATGTTGGGCTGTCCTTTGCTAAAAGACCGTAGTGCAAATTTTCTTTTAGCTACTGTGGTTACTGTTGTCTCCCCCTGCAGTGCACATGTCACATGATGTAAACTTGGGTAAGCAAAGCGCATGCTTTCGCTGGTCTCATGCAAGCGCACACGTGAGTGCGGAGCAGAG